CCCCCCCCAACTCACTTTTGTTCTCTTCTATAGGCTCTTTCAGAAGAGTAGTCCATCATAGTCAAGTATTGTCTGGCTTTACTGGCAATGCCAGGCTTTGAGTTATTTTGAGAGCATTTGAACTGAGCCTTACTTACCTGCAGCTGGAGTGTGCTGAACTTTTTTCCTGGCAGACTTCTTGCTTAGTGTGACACAGATACCATAGACACTGAACTAGCATATAGACTGTCGTGTTCTTGAACTTTGTTTTCTTTCTTTCTTGTGCCTTTTTTTTGTTTCACCTGCAAATACCCTTTTTACCTGCTGGCACACAATTGGAAACAGTAAATCTGAATTTGCTGGTTGTGGTCCTCTTAGTATAGAAATACAGATTTAGCACAGGTTACAAATGTTACCTCTGTTTACTGAAGAGCTACATGCGGCTTGATCTTGAAATACCTCTGTTTAGGAGTGCAGCTGTGTGTTACAGTAGTCTTTCACAAGTAACTGCTAAAACGATAATCTGTAGACATCTTGCAGTCACAAAGCAATGCCAAAAGGAGTAATACAAAGCTGTCATATTGATTTTTTTTCTAATCATGTGCACGCTCATTAATTCTTCTGTCTCAAGTACTTTTTCCCACTGATCAGGCTCCCATGAGCAAGAACTTCTTGCTTATGTAGCTAGATACCTTTTTGTGAGTTACTATGTATCTTTCTTCACTCCACTGGAAGTTGCAGAAAGCTCACTAGAGGAAGAAGCTGTTTGAAAAGCACAGTAGTTAAGTTACTTCTGCACTCTTTGAATACTGCTGCTTATTCCTGAATCTGGCATTGTCATCTTCCACAATGAGAATTAAATACTTAAATACTATTGCTCTCTATCAAGCATTGACTTTTACTAGTTAGTGTGTTTTTCTTCATGTTGACAAATAAAGGTTCTCCTAAATTGTATTTGCTTTGTCTCCTTAAAATAATTATAGAAGCCTGCCAGAAAGAGTGTGCTACACTATTTTCCCTGTCTATAGAATCGTAGAATAGTTTGGGTTGGAAGGGACCTTTAAGGGTCACTTATATGGTCTATATACCGAGAACCAGTTGTTCTGTTTTGAGGATCTCTGTTCTTGTGAAAAATTTTGGTTCATGTGCCTTTTGAACTAAAAAATGTTTAAAGGATTTTGTGTTAAGTTTTTGATGAAACAGTAGCATTTTACATTTGCCTCTTGAAGCAACATGTCTTATGACTATCTCCTTCTTGTCTTTCAGTGAATGATAGTGTCTAGAAAGGGTATGTCCCTTCAGGAGAGAGGTGCCAATGTCCAACCGGCCTAATAACAATCCAGGGGGGTCACTGCGACGTTCACAGAGGAACACTGCTGGGGCCCAGCCACAAGACGACGCAGCAGGAGGAAGGTATGAATGTTACAATGTGTGCTTTAATGTATGAAAGCAAAATTGATGTCATTTAATTAGGGAACATATTTTTCTGCCCTGCAATCCAAGTATGGAAACTTAAGTAAAATCTTTTTGCCCCTGTTACCTGCATGGAATGAAGGCATGGGTCACTTGCTATCGTGCATGTTCAGTTGCAGTAGTAGTAGTAGATCCATGGGGAAGAAGTGTAACTGAGCATTTGTTACAGACAGTAACAAATTCCTTTCCTGATAACAAAAACATGGGGGAGACACATGATGTGACATGGGATGACGGACAGGGGGACTTCAGTGTGTGAAATCTGGGAAAGTCTGTGTACCTGTTAGAGAAGACTGAATAAACTGGCACCTCTCTTCCCTTGCACTGCATATTAGTCCTGTGCAGCTTTTGAATAATTCAAGACCAAAAGGTTTGTCATCCTTTAATATACTTGTACTAGTGAGCAGGTGGACCAGGTTGTGTTTTCTTTGTAAGTGGTTGTCTCTAAAATGCTGAACAAAGAAGATCCATGAAACTTTTCTAGGAATGCTGACTGTATAATTACTGCCATGTCTTTTAAGGAATTGAGCCTTTGAGGGAGTGAAGCCTGTATGGATAAGTCTTCCTTTGATTTTGTTAAAATGTTAGTCTAATGAAGAAAGGTTGTAGTAGTATGGTAGGCACCATCTGTCTGTATTGTAGTACCTCAGAGGTGTTACTGGTGTAGCTGTTTGAATATGCGTATCTTGGTCTTGTGTTTTTAGTGTAAGATTATTAAAATACTGAGGTCTGGCATAAAATAAAAAGGGTTTTACTATGAAGGAATTGGGCAAGAATGTATAATGAAGATGTATATTTCTTACTAATATAAAGTCTAACAGAACAAGGTCACTATTGAATGGATGAAGGAGGCTAGCTGAATTATTCCCCCTCAAAGGTTCCTTAGAAGAACAATGTGCAAAATCCAGCTTCACTCTTTTTAAACTAGTCTCCACTGTACAAATGGAAAAGCAGATGGTAAACACAAGGCTTCTGTAACATGAGGAGGAAGTTGCTGCCTTATGTAGCTGTTTATCTGGCAAAGCGGAATCGTTTTTGGAGAATACTCCTTTTTTTAACTGAGGCATGGTGAACCCTTTATTCTGTCTGTTACCTCTACATCTGAATGGATGTTTAAATTAGATATTGCCCTACCAGCTCTTCCCTTTTACACTGAACTCGATCTGGGGTGAATAATCTTCTCCTTAGAATAAAGAACTAGAGGCACATTATTTGGACGTGGACTTGGGCAATTCTTCTTGAGTTACCTGCTGTTTATTCAGATTTTACAGCAGAGTGCCAGGGAGAAGCTGTACAGTGAGTCAGACAAATTGAAGAATTTTAGGGGTAGCACTATTTTTTTACAGGTAAGTTACTCGTGGTGTTTAGGTGCATTGTGAACTAGTATTTACCCTATCACACGATGATTTCAGATGCAACTTGTCTGAAATGACTGGGCCTCTTCCACCCCTCACCCAAATCTGTGTTTGTCAGACTTCCATGAGCAAGACTGTAGTGCACTCATGAACTATTTTAGACCTTTATTGGAACCAAAGCTTTCTTAAGTAAAGAGGATGAAAGCTTGCAATCCTCTTTGAAAATGCAGGCTCTTTAGAACAGAGAGGATGGAAGAAACTTCCTTTCCATCTCTGAACAAGCGTTTTTGGCTGGCAAAGCATATAAGTAGTCCTGGATAAAGCATGCTGGTTAACATAAACTTTGTAGGGAGTTTGGTTACTCTCACTGAAGAGGGGATACAGAAGACAGTAAGCTGCAGAAATGGCTATTGCACGAGGAACAGTGTAAAATAGATATGTCATGTCCTTGAAAAATTTGCAGATGAAACGGAAAGAGCCAGTATCCAGCTAAGTCACTCTTTCTCTGGTTGCTCGTTTTAAGATATAAACCTCTGGACTCATCCTTCCACATACCTAGGATGCCGTGGGATAGTATGTTCTAGTCCTGCTGTTGAACAGTATGTCGGAGGGTCTAGAGTTCACAGCTTGATGTACCTTCTTCGTTTTGCCTTGCTGGACTCTGGTGATACATACTGCTTTGGCTGCTATAGTTAAAAAAACAAGCAAAACCCCCTGAACTTAAGGTGCATCTATGTTAATATTGCAGTGGGAGTTGGGCATGTTCTTTTGAAGCAAATCTGTTATCCTCACCCTGCTGTGCTTTGGCTGACATCATGGAATGGTCTTGGAACACTTGAATTGGAATCTTCTTTCTTGGGTGCAACTAAACTGGAAGTTGTGCTGTAAGAGAGCAGTTCATGCATCTGGTCAGTTGTGGTTGTCATCTGGTCTGCTCTGAAGTAGAAATCGTGGAAATGCATAGATGGTGGATGTTGGTCCTTAATGGTAACTATTTTGCTTTACAGACTTTCTTGTGTTGATCTGCACTACTTGTTGATATAGTTGTACAGACAGTATGAGGTAGTCTTCAGCCCCTTTGAGATTCACATTGTTAAACAAACCCACCAGACACACCAAAAAAAATCCCAAACCCCTAAACCTCACCAGTACACAAACACAATTCCTCCCCCCCTAGCATTGTACAAGGAATTGAGCAGTAATGTGAGTCTGTAGGGGGTTGTTGCTTCATGCCTAAAATTACCCACAAAGTTTATAAGCAAACTTAAGGGCCACACCTTCTGAAATGTTGGAGAAGGTTACTTTACTTTGGTCATAGATAGGCAATCATAACCCTCCAAGCAAGGACAAGTTTCAGTGCTGTCTGAACTTGTGTACTTGATTACATTTCTGCTTTGTATAAATAGCTTCCTAAATGCTGGAAATGCAACAGCTTTTTTTTTTTAAGCTTTCTTGTGGCTAAGGTTCCTGCTTTTCAAAGTACAGATCGAGTGACGCAAACTTGGAGAGTTTGTGCAGTCTGTTACGTGTGCTGTGATTTCAGACTTTTGATGTGAAGTCCCCTAATCCAGTGTAAGCGAGGGGCCGTATAGCCGTTGGCAGTATAGCCAGGTGGCTTTGCTACCGCCTTAGCTCTGCCTGTCTCTTGCGCTCTGACTGGAGCGAACGCTACATTAGACCTCACGGTCTCAGTCGAGGCGGGTGTTGAAAAGGAGAGAGGCTGGAGAATGGTACCACTTCAAGCTGAAATGCTAATGCAGGTCTTTCTATAGGCTTTGACCCTTTTCCAGCTTAAAGTTCTCTTGTTAAAACTTGATCAATTTAACTTGCTGAGCAGCTACTGTTCACTTCCATGAAGACTTTGGAAATTCCAAACTCCTCTCTGATCTAGTACGTAAAACGCAAATACAGAATCTTGCTGCTGTGATATCTAATACTGGCGGAGTTGGCTTAACCTGGAAGGAACCATGCAAACCCATTTTCTTTTAGGCTGGGCTTATTTGATGTCGCCCTAATAATATCAATACTTGCAGTCAGAATGAGTGGGGGAAGCATATGATGTGTTTTCCGCTGAAGTTTTACTAGCGATTTCACACTCAACACAATAACTTGATATGAGCTTTGAGTGATTTTTACAGTTGTGTTTGTTTAAAAAAAACAATGGTGCTAGGCTCGTAGCATAGAAAGATTGTTGCATCACAAATTGGAAGTAAACTTAGCATCTGTGATGTGTGCTTTTCTCTGAAAGAATCAAAGTATGTGTGTTTGAAAACAGATGTATGAACTAGTGATCTGTTTTCCCTGGGTATGTGCATAACCAAACTGGCCTTGGTGAAGTTGAACTAAAGTAAATTCTTCACTTTCTGTTGTCAGTAGTGATGTTGAAATAACTTTGTGCTTTGGATGACTTTCTGTCATTTGGGATTGAAGGTTAAATGAGAAATAAGAAATCCTTGTTAGTTGCATAGATGACCAAGATATAAGCAGTCTGGAAAACACTATGGAGTGATCTTTGTGAAATAATAAAGCAAGAAGAATGCTGTAGTCAGTCATACTGCTTTTGTTCTGAACAGGATTTGGTTTTGAACCCATCTTGATAATGTTAATTGTTAATATCTTACCTGAGACTTGTGTAAAGACTAAAGGTAATGTTTGAATCAATGGGGGAGACACCGCTGTGAGGAGAGAAAGTAGGTTTTGTTACACAGATAGTGTTATTGCTTTTTTATCTCACTTTTGACAGAAGTAAAAGGGTGTTTAGTTTTGTAGGCTTCATATTTGGAAGCATTTATTACCTCACTCAGCTGCTGAGGAACACGACTTAGATGAAACACTTCATTTATTAACTAACTTCAGAAGGTATGGTGTTTTTCAATATGCATGCAGTAACACTTTGAGGGCAGGTTCTGGATGGTACTTCATTATGGTTCTGCCAAGGAAGGCTAAAGGCTGGCAGTTTCCACAAGGCTCTTAATATAAACAGTGCAGACCAAATGGTGGGTCACTTGTCAACTTCTGCATGTGTGTCGCGATGGACTGAGTGTCTGTCTACCTGTGAATCAAAATGTGTCAGCAGACAGCTTTGCCCACTTGAATGAAGCCTTGGAGTGGGTTATGGAACTGTCTTTAAGTTGTGGGGGGAAAAAACTCAAAAAAAACCCAAAAAATAAAACCCCAGAAAACCCAGAAGAATATTTGAAGGTGCAGCAAGCGCTCAGTCTCTCTGGACCTGCCCCTGCAAATGGAAAGGGACGAACAAGCTCATAAATACTTACCTTATAATTTTTCATCATTAGTGAGGTACTTAGTCTCTCAACAAACTTGTTGCTAGAGTATTTGCTTAAGTGAAGCTTCTGAATGGAAGATGTGTTAATGGAAGAGAGTAAAGAGCTTGTACTAGTTAAGTTACTAGTTAAAAGTCTTGACTTACGGGCAAGAGTGCCAGGTAGCTTGCAACCTTTAACTGAAAACAATCTTCCAGCTGCCTGTGTACCTTTGATAGCACTTCGTTCTCCAAGTGTTACTCTTTGTGTTTCTAGCTCATCAGATTATTCTAACTACCTTTGTATGCAGGTTAACTTTTAACGAGACCTTAAGCAAGCTGTCACAACCTTAGTATAAACTCGTGATAATGGTACTTGTGAGTTGGTGTGTGGTTAAGTTTGACTTAATCCTGCAGTCTCTCCAAATTGCCAGCCTGCTTGCCATTGTATAAATCTTGAAGGGGAGTTAATGTCATGCTCCTTTTAACTGACATGCTACTGCGTGTACAGTTGTTATTGTCTTGTGTGCCTTATCTTTAATCATTCACCTTGTGTGTGTTGCAAACTCGAATGAAAAATGACAGCCCAGTAGGTCTTTAAAATATTAAAAAATCCTCATCAGTTTTGACCCCTCATCTGTTAAGTTTCTGGTGTAACCTTTATTCTCTGGTGCTGAATGTTATTTCTACTGATAATTTGATGGATGAAGAAAATAAAGCCAACACAAATAGTCTGCACAATACAGTATTTGTGATTCCCAGAGTATGGGTAGCTTTATTGGTCCATATAAGTTGAACATTGGTATGAAATTGTTTGTAAAATTGTAAGGGGAGAATTGTAAGCCTGGAACAAGTGAAAACTCTTCAGCGCATGATTTAAATACTTGATGTTTTGATTTATTGCTTTAGCCATATTTTAGTTGAAAAGATCTTCGATTATTTTCTGTTTTGTGAATGCTTAAAGCACTTGGTTGGATCCAGTTCTAATTAAAGCAAAACAAAAATCTCTAAGGGAAAACAACCTTTTAAAATATACTTCAGAATAAATGAACCCTGATCAGTTAGCTTACACAAAAATGAGATCCCTGCCAAGTTTAAATTATGTAATAACTTCTGTTACTCCCATAATAAAAACATTTCAAGGGGAAAATTAAATTTCACACCTTAGTCTTTTGTTGGGAAAAGGAAAATCCAAACACTCAGGATTAGGTGAAACATTTCCAAGTTTACCTTGATGGAGGTTGCTGTTGCGAGCTAAAGACCTAACTGCTCTGTTTCACTTGCTTTTGATCATTAAAATGATTTCTTCTAGTATGAGAAATAGAACCAAATAAAGTGTTACGCTCTTAGAAAGATGAGCCACAGGAAATGTTTTGAGTATGTGCTGTCTAGGTGCATTCATCAGTTTGAATAACTGACTAAATGAGGATACTTTGGAAGAAAACAGAGAAAGGAAAGAAAAACAGTCCTATTACTGAAGTTTTACCATTTCAACTCTGTAAGCAAATTACAATTAAACAGTAAAAAACCCAAGTCTAATCACTTATGTTTAAGTTTCTGTTGAAATCCTTAAGAGGGTAATGAAAGTTTCTGGTCTATAGTAGACTTAGCTCTGACTTTGCCACTAGATTTCTCACATTTGTTTGAAAGCTTGTGGAACTCCTCTTACTCTTTTGGCCTAACCTTTTTGTTTGCAGACATGGGTGGGAGCAGGATGCTTAAATCTGAATTCTACATTTCTACCCTTCCCCGTATGATTCAAAGATATTTGCGTTGCTCAACTCAAACGACTAGGTAGCATAGAATCAGTAATTCTTTAGCTTTGAAACATTGCTTCTTCCAGCATTAATATTAGGCTAGTTTGACATTTCATGAATGTTAGTGGTGCTTGGGGTTTCTGTACAGGTAGGATATGAGCAGTAGGGTTTTCCTGGTGACCACTGAGTCAAAAGTATGTTTTATCTGGCAAAGTACAAGTGAAAAGTCGCTTGCCTTAGCAATTATTTATACTGTGCTGCTGTGAACGCTGGTGAGCTGTCTCTTATGAGTCTTGCAGTTGGTAATTCTTACTGGTTTTCAAAATGGATGTTGAAATGAGTTACATCTTAACATATTCTTAAATTTTATCTATGGTATGGTATATCTTTGTTCTCCAGTCAGAGCTCGTACAATACACCAGTCTTTGCATGTGGCTGAAAACTGCTTGGAAGACCTCTTGCAGCTTATCTATGTGAAACTCATTCCCTTCTCTGACATCATAGGTTTCCTGTCTCATCTGACTGCCTTCATTGGTAGCATGCATTTCTTCATTCCTCTAACTTCAGCTGTTACCAATCAGCTCTTAATCCTTTGAACTGGTTGATCTGCAGCTAGAAAATAACTGGCAGGTTTGAGCTTTCCTACTGAGTGGAACTGGTTGCATTGCCACTCCAAACATTTTATTTTCTTGAACTTAAGAGCAAAGGAACAAGCTTGTAACTGGATAATGTCTTAATGTGTGGAATCTTGAGGTTGATGAGTATACATCTATTTCTGAGAAGAGTTCTTTGACAGGTGCTCTAGTCTTGTGCCTTACTGTGCTAGCTTCATGCTTAAATTCAGTTATCTTGCACACCAGAAAAATCTGACTTTGTCTGCACAGCTTAGGTGTGAGAAGATGTTTTATTCATTTAAAATGTCTAAATAATTGTGTACTTTACAAAAAAGTTATACTGGTAGTGATTTGTAACTGCACCAGGTGATTCTCTTGAAATACTGCTTTTTAATGTTAGGGGTTGATGTGGAAAGTTTTGAAGCTGTAAACTAGTATTTGTAAACAGTCCAAAAAATAATAATAATTCCACTTACAGGTTTGTATCTCTCTCTTGGGATCCTGATAGCTTTCTGTTTTGACTTTCTGCTGACAGGTCACATTTAGGGCAGGCAAAACATAAGGCACATAGCCCTCCTGAGAGTAAAAAATCTATTTCAAAGACACCCAAAGTGCAGTCTAATACTACTTCTGAGCAGTCCAGGGGACACTTTTCTAAAAGGTAATTGTGCTTCGTATTCATATGCTATCTGGTGTTATCTGTGCTTCACATCTGTGCATAACATGTCTAGTTATACAGAGCTCTTCCAGAATGTATGACGAGTAGATTTTAACCAATCTGCATGTTGCGTTCAGTGGATCTGTTTCACTGTTTTACATTCTGTGGTGTTGTGGTTCTGTGGGATTGTGTGGGGTGTTTTTTTTTTTTTTTTTTTTAAATTCACCAACTGAGAGCATTCTGTCAGTGATGAGGAAGAAGTGACTTCTGCATAACTAGTCCTGGAATACTTGTGAGGTCTTTCTCTACTTTTCCTGCTCCATGTTGGGGCAAGATTGCCCAAGGAGTTCTGAGCCATGTCCAACATTAGTTGAAACATGTAATAGTCTAAAGTGTGCCTGTGTTTGGGATAATGATCTCCGTTTGTCTTTGCTTTTCATATACTTCTGCTATGTACATGTTGGAATGCTTTTTTAGTGTGGAAGACAGTTTTGCCATTTTTCTGTGTGTAATTGATTACCTCAATATCAAGACTGGGAAACTATCCTTTCACTAAGAGCCCTCTTTGAACTCTAGAATCCAGTTATGACTAGTTATGCATTACTGAGAACTCTTTACTCTCTTGTGGAACTTCTCAAACATTCAGATAATAGCTTCATGGGTCTTTTTTTCTTTTTAATCAGTTTGATTTTTTTTTTTAAATAAATATGTCAGTAAAATATATCCAAATTACCTCATACCTTCCTCTTTAAGTGTACTGTAGGGTTTTTTTTGCAATTTATTTTAGTTTTCATGCTAGCAAAAACTTGCAATATGACTGTTCTCATGCAAGCATGGTTTGTCTTCTTACAGTGTGAACTTAATAATCACTGTTTCTTACCTGCAGTTTCCTTTATTATTATAGAAAGCTGACATTTATCTTGCAAAACTGTTGCAACTGTGAGGTTTGAGTTCAACACTAATCCTGTCCCTGCTTACTTCTACAGAGGCTGTAGTTCATCTGCTGATTTAACACCACAACAAGAAGATCCAGAGAGAGTCAATAATTCAGAAAAGCAAAAAACGGGGCAAGTGCCTAAGAAAGACAATTCTCGAGGAGTTAAACGCAGTGCTAGTCCAGATTACGGGAGGACCAATTCTCCTAGCTCTGCTAAAAAATCCAAAGCACTTCAACACACTGAAGCTTCCTCGGAAACTAACAAGCCACATACTAAATCTAAGAGATCAGATCAAGAACAGCCGAAGTCTACACCATTGCCATCAACAAGTAAGGCTCACACCAGAAAGGGTGGAGCTGCTGGTACCTCCCGAGGTCAGAAAAGGAAAAGGACAGAGGATCTGTCTTGTATAGAGAGTGGTTGAGCAGTTGAATCAACTGGCGCTGAAGAGAAGTCAGCAAAACTCTCCAAGCTGGCTTCAAAGTCTGTGACCTCAGCCAAAGCTGGGTGTAGCACCATCACTGATTCTTCTTCTTCAGCTTCCACATCCTCCTCCTCTTCTGCTGCTGCCTCTGCTTCTTCTACTGTTTCTCAGGGTGCCAGAGTGAAACAAGGAAAGGACCAGAGTAAGTCTAGAAGTTCCCGCTCTGCATCCAGCCCCAGTCCTAGAAGGAGTAGCAGGGACAAAGAACAGAATAAAACAGGTGGTTCTTCAAAGTTTGATTGGGCTGCTCGATTCAGTCCAAAAGTCAGTCTCCCTAAAACAAAACTGTCTCTACCAGGCTCGTCCAAGACTGAGACATCAAAACCTGGACCTTCAGGACTACAGGCTAAGCTAGCAAGTAAGTTCATTTGTGGAAGAATCAACACGTATGTTTTAAAATAGAGCTTTCTGAAACAAATACTTCTGTTGTTTTCAGGCTTGATGGGATCTTCTTAGAGAAATTAACATTTAGTGTGTTATGCTGAGTTTTTTCAAGTAAAGCTGTGACTGAAACTATTTACAGCTAAAGGAAGTGATTTAAGTACAGTCAATGTTCTGTAAGTTTAAGTTGCTTCTCTGTCTTGCAAATCAATTTTAAAAATAAAATATATGCAAAATAGTTGGATGTTGTGATGGGGACATAACCGTTATAAAGCTCTTAATTACATTTCTCCTGTCAGATATTTTCTCTCACTTTTAATAAGCTTTCCATCCCAAAGCAGG